GAAACGAGGAAGGAGACAAGACAAGACTTTGTTCTGGACACCACTACACAGCCACACATGCTTCTGAGCTGAGAGCCATCAAATATTTCTGAAGGCCAGCTCGTACCCAGGTTTACCACCCTCAAATATGTCAAAAATTTAGAAGAGAAAGAAGATGATACAAGAACCAACAAGGGTAGGAAACCACTTTTCTATGAGTCTAAAAGGTTTCCCATTGATGCTGTCATTTTATGTCAGTTTTTATAAGGCACATATGGATAATTAGCATATCTATATGCTTTCACTATCATTTCAAATATATTTTAGGGGAGCATCATAACAATAGAAAAGTAAGAGAGAGACTTTGCATTTGTATCTGAAAATACATTTCTATTAAAATAAATCCTCTGGATGGATGAGTTTTTTTAGTTTATCAGCACTCTACAGACATTTCCATTTCCACTTGAAAATCTTTAAGCCTTCCTCACAGTATACATTAAATTATACATTAAATATCTTTTTACCCTTCGTCTGAAGGTTACAAGATAAATGCGGCAAACTGGTCATTAATAATCAGTGAGTAAAATAAGCTTTCAGCACATTAAAGGTGTGCACAGCATGTTCAAAGGGACCATCGGCATTCGTCTGAAATTAGCTTTTCACTGCACAAACCAGAATGGTCAGCTTTCAGAAGGACTGTGAGCCAAAAGGTCAAAAATCTCATATTGAGTCATCTTAGGCTAGTACTTCTAGAAGCTTTAAAAATAAAGAGTCTCTGTTCCGGAAGAGCCTAAGTCAGCCTCATTAATGAACTGTGTAACTCACTGGACAGCTCTGAGGCAGCTGCTTCATGCCAATAGCTGGACCGAATGCCTCTAATTCCACAGTGTTCTCTTCAAGAGTTCCCATCCCTCTCTTGCTGTGACAGGTTGGCTTGCAACAAGAAACAAGGTGATTTGAGCCCAAGTATACTTTGTTTTTTAACTAGCAAAGGAAAAGTTATGGGTTTTGTACTTGTCTGTGTGAGTGATTGCCTTCCCAAAGCTGATAATGCTAGAGGAGCCAGGTTCTCATGCACTTAATAGCCCTGGCTGGAGAGCAGAGTGAGAGGCGTGCGCTACCGAGGCAGGACATCTACGCAATCTAACTATAAACAAAAGTACAAGGACATTCCCCAGTGGTGTGGAGAACTGTGTCCCCTCGAGATAGAGCCTCCCAGACCCAACACAGCAGTTTCTGTGAGCTGATGAGCTCTGAGACTGACACCAGGCCTGGAAATGAGCCTCTGGGGAAGCAGCATCTTAGCAAAAGCAGGATTTTTTTTTTTCAGAAGGAACAAAATAAACAGGAAGAAAGAAAAGAACTTCCTCTGCTCCCTAAGAACATTTTTAAATGCTCAGAAAGGTCAAATGGAAGAACTGACAGTTCTCATGAATGTAATAAAAGCAGAAAGAAAAAAACCCATGAAGTTGTCTATCTATGGAGATAATTCTCTCTATGGAGATAATTCTCTCTCTCTCTCTCTCTCTCTCTCTCTCTCTCTCTCTCTCTC